GCCCTTTAAACGGTGGTCGTCAGTGAACAGACGATTTAAATACTTCATAGGTAAAATAAGTTACTTGTTATACAAATGAGGAAAAGTGTGTGTTAGTGTAAAACTGACCTTACTACACATATATTTTGGGTTGTAAAAAGTGAATTTCAGTGTAGAAGACGTAATTATTCGATATTACCAAACACTATAAAATGCATTGAGGAATGCGCTTCTGGAGATAAGCACTATCGACGATGACTCGTTATCTCAGCGTAACGCGGCTAGGTTTGTGAACAACGCCAACGTCATTTCGATTTTTTTCAACATGAATGCCCCCCTGTTATCCAAAGTTTCTAATATAGAGGCGTTCATGGAACAAGTACTGACACACACTCACATACAATTAAGTAATCTACTGAAAATTGATAACTGGCAAAGCTGACGCAAAAACAAAGGAGACAAAAACAGCCAGCATTCAATATCAAAATGTATATCGCCTTCTAAACTTCCAAAGCAAGAGACTCCCGCAGATACTTATATGACGCGCGGATAACTATCATCATTAAGGTTCTCAGGAAAAAAAACCACATGACAAAATTACGTCAATATATTGTCAGCATGCATACAAAAGCATTTCTGTAAAAATATACATTCGAAAATGCAAGGATAATGATGAGATGTGGAAGTTGAAGTTGGTAACAGTGCAAGTTGTAAACATAAGGAAATAAAGAACCTGAATCACACCGCATATCAAAAGTTTGTAAAGTTATAAAATACATTCACCTTGATGATGTAGATTTCTGTCGTGTCATTCTAATGCTCAGTACGATTTATAGTGTTAATTATCATTACGACAGGTCGGATGTGACCCAGTGTTTATTATATAAACAGCTGCCACGTTGCTATACGGAAGCTAACTACGGGCGATGATTAACATCTTCACTAGTATGCATTTACATTGCGTGTTGCGTATTTACTGGTCGAGATTATTTTGGCAAAAGTGCATATGTATTTCGCGCCAAGAACACTTATTCATCAGGTCCTAGAAGAATAATTCAACAAACACAATTATCACATACATGTACTTGTCAGTGGTATAAGTTGTTGCACATGTGCGTGCGATAAAGCGAGATGTGCATGTCATATTACGGAAAGTTTCATATCCACCTAGCAAGCGCCATACCTCTCCGGTACGCGTCAAGTCGATTTCACCATCCGGCTCAAAACATTTCACTCTAAATGAAACGCCCCGATTACACCAGGTTTCGTTTTTGTTTCGTTTTCTAAATGTTAATTTTATTTTGTCATGTAAATATGCATTAAATTCTTCTGTTTGTAAGTGTGGCTAATGTATATATGGCAGCAAGCAAACAACAAAAAATAAAAATAAATACTTTCATTTAAAACGATTATATCCGAGTCTCTTCCTTCTCAAAACATGTCATAATAGTTCATTATAATTAATTTATATACATTGTCAAAAACTATCAATTATACATATGTACATAAAACAGCATTGCACATACTCATATTTCACAGCGGTTGTGGTTTGGGTTTGTGTACTTCCTGCACACGCCTGGTGACGTCACCCAATGTATGTTGTTAAAAAATGAAAAACAACGAGTAAAGACAGTTGAGCTGTGCAGAACAAATGCAAAATCTGAAGAATGCTTTTTTCCAATAGTAAGGGACAGTAAGAAAGATGACATAAAATACAGTATGGCGGCGGAAAATGGACTCTAAGCCGGATTAAATGATAAACGGTTGCAAATGTTAAAAAATTCGTTTACCTAAATTTTTATCTGAACATATTTTATTTGTAACTTCTTTAAGAATATCCGTTTGACCAACCCTAAAAAAACAAAAAAAATATTGTTTACCTTTTAATTATTATTTCGAACTCTTATATTGGACTTTATACCTTTACATCGCTGTACTTATGTAGAGTCAACCTATAACGGGTCTGTTCTCCGAACTAATTAATTTGGTTTAAGGTTTTGCATGTTTATAAATATTTAAATGTTTAGCATGTAATTACATGAAACAATCTTTAAAAAAAGGGGGGACTATGTTTAAAAACTTGCATATGATTAAGGTTTTTATGTTAAATGTTGACGATTATTTAAAGAATGTATGTACAAGTTTTAACCGATTTTATATCCTGTTATGTGGAGTTAGGTACGGTTTAGTGTTTAAGATATATATGTAATATCGTTAGTTATGGTAAAGATTAAGGTTAATTTAAGTACACATGTTTGAGATGTATTATGCCTTCAGCACTTCTATTAAAGATTTTAATCATATTTGAGTTTCTCAATGAAATGTTTAGGTACGATTCCATTGCCTACATATCTATGTGGATGAATTCAGTATGATTTCAGTATGATATTACAGGTTTTGGTCAGTATGATATTACAGGTTTTGCTCAGTATGATATTACAGGTTTTGGTCAGTATGCTATTACAGGTTTTGGTCAGTATGATATTACATGTTTTGGTCAGTATGATATTACAGGTTTTGGACAGTATGATATTACAGGTTTTGGTCAGTATGCTATTACAGGTTTTGGTCAGTATGATATTACAGGTTTTGGAAGTATGATATTACATGTTTTGGTCAGTATGATATTACAGGTTTTGGACAGTATGATATTACAGGTTTTGGTCAGTATGCTATTACAGGTTTTGGTCAGTATGATATTACAGGGTTTGGTCAGTATGATATTACAGGTTTTGGTCGTATGATACTACAGGTTTTGGTCAGTATGATATTACAGGTTTTCGTCAGTATGATATTACAGGTTTTGGTCAGTATTATATTACAGGTTTTGGTCAGTATGATATTACAGGATTTGGTAGTATGATATTACAGGTTTTGGTAGTATGATACTACAGGTTTTGGTCAGTATCATATTACAGGTTTTGGTAGTATGATATTACATGATTTGGTCAGTATGATATTACAGGTTTTGGTATTATGATATTACAGGTTTTGGTAGTATGATATCACATGTTTTGGTCAGTATGATATTACAGGTTTTGGACAGTATGATATTACAGGTTTTGGTCAGTATGATATTATAGGTTTTGGTCAGTATGATATTACAGGTTTTCGTCAGTATGATATTACAGGTTTTGGTCAGTATTATATTACAGGTTTTGGTCAGTATGATATTACAGGATTTGGTAGTATGATATTACAGGTTTTGGTAGTATGATATTGCAGGTTTTGGTAGTATGATATTACATGTTTTGGTCAGTATGATATTACAGGTTTTGGACAGTATGATATTACAGGTTTTGGTCAGTATGATATTTCAGGTTTTGGTAGTATGATATTACAGGTTTTGGTCAGTATGAGATTACAGGTTTTGGTCAGTATGATATTACAGGATTTGGTCAGTATGATATTACAGGTTTTGGTAGTGTGATACTACAGGTTTTGGTCAGTATGATATTACAGGTTTTCGTCAGTATGATATTACAGGTTTTGGTCAGTATTATATTACAGGTTTTGGTCAGTATGATATTACATGTTTTGGTCAGTATGATATTACAGGTTTTGGACAGTATGATATTACAGGTTTTGGTCAGTATGAAATTACAGGTTTTGGTCAGTATGATATTACAGGATTTGGTAGTATGATATTACAGGTTTTGGTAGTATGATACTACAGGTTTTGGTCAGTATCATATTACAGGTTTTGGTAGTATGATATTACAGGATTTGGTAGTATGATATTACAGGTTTTGGTAGTATGATATTGCAGGTTTTGGTAGTATGATATTACATGTTTTGGTCAGTATGATATTACAGGTTTTGGAAGTATGATATTACATGTTTTGGTCAGTATGATATTACAGGTTTTGGACAGTATGATATTACAGGTTTTGGTCAGTATGATATTGCAGGTTTTGGTAGTATGATATTACATGTTTTGGTCAGTATGATATTACAGGTTTTGGTAGTATGATATTACATGTTTTGGTCAGTATGATATTACAGGTTTTGGTAGTATGATGGTATTCAAGCCAAGCATTTATGCAGAAATATTTACATTATGTACACTTGGACCCATTGACGAAAATGACGTTAATTTTTGCATAACATAGGTGACCTCGTCACTGCGTATTGATACACTGCAATGACGTAACACACGGCGTACCTGGTCCACGTCCGCTGTGAAACAGCCATCTATGTTGTGTTGTTATGCTAATGTGATTAACATTAAACATATTAAGCTTGATTGTAAAGCTTAAATAAGGTGCGAAAAGTAAATGATAACATACGACTCTTTGTTTTGTTGTCATACTGTTACATTTTCCAGCGAAAACACGCTATTCTCTCAACTGCGTGGTCCCAATGTATACATAACGCGACTCGTGGAACATGTCCAGAAAGCCAATATTGTTATATTGTTAGGTCATGAATGTTGAAAATAAATTTCTTTCCTGAATTAATTCGTTCGTGTCAATGTTTATTTAAAAAATTTCAGCATTAATGCGTTAATATATAATCATCATTTCAGTACTTATATCAAGGTTCAGGTATTATTTCAGTAATAAACCATTATAATGTAGGTAACACAACTACGATTAATTATCGGGATCACACAAACAAGCATGACCAAACCCACTACGTACTTTTATAAACAACTAGGATATGTATTATTAATAATTACTTGGGATGACGAGGTCAATGATGCAAACTCGTTTTGTATTATAATACATGGTTTGCTTCAGAGTGTCGGACAGTGATAAACCAGGAAGATTCGCGAGTCAGTCGTTACTTTAAAGTATAAACTTTTCCAGCTGTATAATTAATGTTATATGCACATACAAGGAAATTACCGCGGGCCTCAATTAATATATGTGTATGCATAAAAGTCAATTATGCAGACGTTTAGCGTAATTGAATCAAATAAACTCCATGGTAATTTCTTTAAGTGTGAAATACATTTGACAACTACTAAACCAAAGTTTGCCCTTACTGTAAACTAATATCTAACTAATGAGTATATTGCTACTGTCGTGATGAAGTCATGACGTACTTAGCTTCGACGGAACACTAGCACATGATCACGTGGGCTGTCTACCACCAATCACACTGTGTATCTTACGGCCAGACATGCATTTATCAGAGTGACCGTTTTACGTTCGAGGACGTAGGTGTTAAGTAATGGCAGGCTGAGGAAGAACATCATGGACGATTCTTGGTAAGCGACACGGCGCAATGTTGCTGTTTCAAAGTTTGCTGTTTGGCTGTGTAGCTCTTCTTCACATTGCATCTGGCGCTGGATCCCTCTCTCATGTTTTCAAAAGGGTAAAAAAATCTCCGGTAAGTATTTAAGATGTATTTATGTTACGAGCAAAACTTACGTAGGTGGAGGGCGGGAGAAAGGTGTTTTAGTAGAAAGCTAAAATTAAGACGCATTTCATGTGTGTATCTGGTGGCAGTACGCCAGTGAGTAAACTGCTTGATGAATGTGTTAGTTCACCTTCGGCCACACTCTGAGACACCTAAATTTACACCGTTGTTAAAGACGCAATTCTAATTTACACAAATGTTGTAGACGTACATCTTTTGTAAGACAAGTGCAAAATGAAGTCCTTGGGATCTGTACCAGAACATTGGAGGAAGCTTGTAATCAACCACCATTCCAATCATAAACTTGATTGTGGCCATCATCATTCTCCTTAATCATTAAGATATGAACGTGTATACCTATAGGTGAATATTGCTCATAAGCTGAAACGAAAAAAAATTAAGTGATTAACAAAATACAATGTGTCTGTTCATGATATGTTTGTCTTGGAAGGTGTTGAAAAGTTACAAAATACTTCTGTATTATATCGTTGAGTTTTAAAAAGTAAACCAAAGCAAACAAAACACAAAAGAAAATATTTACGAAACAAAACAAGTAAGACAAAGAAAATAACAGATTACTACCTTATTTTCTGATGTGTTCATTGGTGACCTAGCACACGATGTAGCAACCAGTCGAACAGTTCCTCACTCTTGTGGGTAAATGATGAGTAATGCTTTATATATACCAAACATCACACCAAATATAACGTTAGGGCCTTCCAATACACCGAAACAGACGGCATGTACATGGACCACTCAATCATATTGTATCTATAAATGTATTCACTGCCATGCAGTTTCCATTTGTTGGTATTTAAACTATGCATAGTGTAAAATAGTATCATAACGTACGGACTATTTTCTTATTGAAAAACAATGTGCAACCACTTTGGTTAATTAACATTTTCATCGATACAATTTTAATCATTTTATTAAAACATTCTAACAATGTTAGTCTACACCGGCGGCTATTTTGTTATAGGTTTCGTTTAACGGTTTATATTGATGTGCACTGAAAAGAAACCTAAAAGAAGCATTGATTTTTTTTCCTATAATGTATAGTTGGTTAATATTCCTAAACTGTACACACAGTTATAAACACGAAGAGATGTTCCTGCAACATAGAATTTCAAGCAATGTAAAATAAATTACACCTTCATATACATTTTTTTTTTATCAAAAGCAAAGAATAATTCATCCGCACCACAAACTGCGGACAGTACCTCTAAACAATGTAGTACATCGATTTTGTTCATCTCTTTACAAACTGTATCACATTTACCTACAACGTTACGTCTATGGACACCGTACTAGCACAAGTCATTTGACTTGTGTGACCACTAGATTTCCTGTTTTCGATTTTTTTAACGAGAAACTGTGAGTAGAAAAAAATCAGTTCAATTAAGTTTTATTTCATTTTGAACCCAAGTAAGGTTACCTAGTGAGGAACTCAAATCGCGCAAAAGTTTTGGTTCTCCAAGCTTCTTTCGTGTTGATTTCGTATTCGCGATACATTAAAAATGAATGCATAAAAACAATGATTCCCGAGATAACTTTCAAGGTTTTTAAAACGGTATATGTTTTATCCAATACTCCAGAATCTCCTCCTTAGTATTGTATCAATCATTTATTGTAATGTTAATCTTTAAAGCTATAGTCATATGTCGACGAGAGTCTAACGCGGCAGTATTGAAAAAATAAATAAAGATACGAGATGAAAAGAAGAGTTCCAACATCTTTCGTTGGGGAAGCTGATGCTTTTATCCATATTTTGTTTTTGTTTCTTAGTTCCCGCTACAAATTAAAAAAAAATGAAAACAAAGAATAAAACACCCAATTCCACAGAGGGCCCAATATTAGTCACCTACTACATTAATATGCGATAAATTTATCAGGTATATCCCTATCCTGAACAGAGCAGGTATCCAATTAATTGATCAACTTAGCAAATAAAAGTATTAATAAGTACAACACTGGGTTGTTCTGTAAAAGTTGAAACACCCTCAACACTTATATCATTTGCAACATTTAAGAAGTCATGGACAACAGTATAATAACAAAAACAGTGAACGGACAACAGTATAATAACAAAAACAGTGAACGGACAACAGTGCAATTCAATGCAACATGACATAAAATCAACAAAGACCACCTAAACGTCACGACAAGAAGAAACCAGGGATTATTTCCGGTGCCTCATGTTGTACCAGGTGCCTGCTTTTTAATGTATTGCCCGCATTCTCAGATTATCATAAATATAATCTATCATTTCTTTGTGATGATCAACACGAGAGTAGGGTTATTATGATATTCATTATTGCCGAGTGCTAAACGTCAGATATCGTATCCTGTGATTCAAATTGCCCTGTCTGTATCACAATATTCATCATTGTAAAACACAATATGTATACGAAATAGTGAACCCAATACACAGTGTTATTATGACGGATGCATGAAATGTTACACAAATGATGACGCGACATTGTTAAACACCGCAATTATGACGTTTCCAGCATAATGTGAGCTATTTTAACTTAACTTGACAAACAATGGATTGTAAATCTGAGTTTAGGACACCTTAGAAAAATGTGTTTATTCATGGTAAACACTGAAATATACTAACTACAATCAGGACATGATACAAACCATACATATTATCCGCCTATCCATGTACCTAGCTGTATAGGACACTCTCACATCCAATCAAACAATGTGTCACATCTAACATTTCAACACGTAGAAACAAGGCTCTGGCAGAGTGAATCAAGGGCGAGGGACTCAGTAATATTGATATAATGATAGGCAAACCTTTACATAATCGCTTATCAAAGACTCAACCTATGTAATTATATTTTGTCTTTATCTTTGAGTTAGGATTTGTGATCTGATATTTACCTTAAAGTCCGTTTCTGATATCATTTAAAGGTATACAACTCAACATACCAGTAAGCAGCATGTCGTGGAGTGATTATTGATATTTATCTTATTCCTCCTACATATCTTATTTCCTTAATTTAAAAAAAAAAAAAAAAACGCGAATTACAAATTGCATAATAAGGTACAGTTCAACAAATACAGTTTTGTTCGTCCTTGCTGCTGTATATTTGACTACTACAGTGGCACATGTATAATGTTATATTTTATAATGTTGACCATGTGCCATTTACAAAGATGCAATGTATTCGTGTGTCATGTTGTATACATTATAAGGTGAATTTATGTCCCTGAAGCAGGGACGAACCCCTGACATTTAGTCTACAGTGTACACTTAAAATATTAAAGCTGCATGTGCACAGGTCTTATTAAAAATGATTTTGTATGCAGATGGCCTAAAGTCACAGCTGATTTAGAGACATTCAATGTTTGCTGTCTCCAAGTCGAATTGCAGGACCTGGTAACGACTGTGCAAACGTTTAAATATGTGAGTTGTTTTGATAGCCCTTTCCATAGGGCGTTCAATCACACAATTCAGGTCCGATACAGAACGCTGTATTTTAAGGCGGATAATGTCTGCAAAACAACTTGTTCTGTCAAATTTTCACAATTGAAATATGAGCTTTTACTGTGAAAATATTGTTGGTTATTTTTTTCAATTGTGACATATAGCATAGTTTTGTTATTGTCAATCGTTCGACCAATCAGAGAACAGGATTAATTGTAAAATCAGTAGTTATAATGATATTAAACATTACAGGTTCTCATATACCGCTTTATCACAACCTAGTTCGTAGGTCGTCTCAAAGCGGTTCACAAATTTACAAAATCCGTGGTTATAGGGTCAATATCTTTCTCAACTCCCGTGGAGCATACAGCCGATGCTGCCATTTCGGATCTCATAGCTAGCATTCGACAATTCTAGCACTGTCTAAACACTCATTTACAGCTGATTAGACTGGCACAAGCGAAGTAAAGTATCTTGTTCATAAATACAACACCGTGCTGTGACGTGACTCGAACCTGCAACCATTCGGTCACGAGCCTGGCGTCGCTAGATTACCGTGCCTCCGTGTATCTAAATAGTTATCACCATATCCGAATGACGTCATGTTTGACAATAAGGATGTGGACCATTTTGACACGGCTACGCAATTTTCTGTTTCCATCAAGCAAGAATTGTGTTACAAAAATGTTGTCTATTTTCTAGCTAGGTACATTATTGTGTTATATACCATATCTGCAACTGTTAATGCAGTGAGTTGAAAGTACAGTGTACCGTTCTTACCGTTCCATATCAAAATGAAGCCTCATCTTTGATTATCACATGACATTATGAAGATATATTATTGTGTACATCAGTGAAGATTGAGTCTTTACTTAATCAATGTCTTGTTTATATTCCACTCATGGAATGTAACAAAACAGAGAGCCTAATGTGCATTGCAACCTTCACGCTTCCTTCACGAGAAGGTTGTTGTGGTGTTTAGGTTAAAGTAACTGATATTACTTGGCCAGAGAATATAAATGGTGTATATCTCGGAGATCCTGAATTCGACGCCTAGATATGGCACTGGTCTTGATAATCACTGAAAGTCGTTATTTACATTGGATGTAAGGTACCAGCGTAATGAGTGCTTCGTATCATGTCAGCTTGTGTGTTTATATTAATGTTCAAGATATAGACTTCCTATTGTTTTTGTGCTTGTCACCATTGTAAAGTACTAGCCGCTTCCTACCGACTGTGCTAGGGAATCCTTCTCCTCAGCTCATGCGTTAGAGTATAAAACTAGTAAACGAGAGGTCCCTACGTGGTCGCCAATATAACAGAAGTCATGTTTTTCCCAGTGCGTCCACAAGGAGTCGAACCTGAGCAATCTAGATTACTAGCCTTATGCTCTACCGAATGAGCTATAGAAAAAATCTTCCTAGTCGAGTTGGTAGGAAGCGGTTAGTATTTTGCCACGGTGGTATACTCCCCCGCCAGGAGGGAACTCTTGCAAGTATTATATATAAAATGTGTCGGGTGTTAACAAGGTGTCTTCATATATGTGTAAACATTACAAAGTCTTATACAAATTAACTTGTATATATTAATATACAATGTGTCAAATCGTACTTGTCAGTGATGTCGTGAGCACCTGATCATGCTTACCATTGTATGTCCCTGACCTATTAAATGTTTATGGAGATAAAGCTGTAAAATAGAATCATTAGGACAAATAATCATTTCGAAGTAAAACAAAAACGAAATAACTTGGTAGTAGGCCTAAATGCGTGTGTTATTGTCGTTTATTAGATTTTTGTTTTATTTCAGGTATCTCGGTTCCCTGCATCGGAGCGCGCAAGCTACCATGGAGGCGATTTAGGGTTCAATCTGGGATCAGTTGAGGTATATTGAAAATGTAGTGAGCTTGCATTGACAATAGATGTGATGGCTATAGCCAGGTGTCATAGTACACACGCTGTATGTTTTAAATGTTTCGATTTAAGGACCCCGTCCCATAGTAAACAATGGTACTAATCGTTGGAATCTGTATTATCCGACACAATTACAGATTTGATAAATCATGTCTTAAAAGAAAGACATGCCTTGCGGGACCTGAGCAAAAAAAAAAAAAAAAAAAAAAAAAAAAAAAAAAAAATTNTCTGAGTATAAATAATTACATCATGGTTAGATGAGGATTCGAACCTTGGTCCTCAGATGATCGCTACGCTGTCGTTCTTATGAACCGACTAACCTGGTCAACGGAAGTATCTTGTAAACTGTAGGAGAGGTTACTTCTTAGCGAAAACATACATTAATGTCACTTTTCATGATCCAGATATTGAGGTCAATTTCAATGTGCCATCAGTAGAACACCTAACATACATTCCCACCTGCTATCTTCTTTTTAATTCCTAGATTAGTATCAGCATAACAATGAGTTTTTCACCTTGTTTGCTTTACATTTTCTCTAGTTTCTATCATTAACATTCAGGTTCCTGTAATTATTTATTTTCTTGATGTCTCTTGTTACCATAAAACAAATTTAGGAATAAGACATTTCCATATATACTCGAACATTAAAAAACCTGTTGGAGAAAGAGTGTATCTCTTCAGATATATGATCTTTATTTTAATACATATCAAACAAAAAAAGTCTATTGTTGTAAGGGAATTTAACATTTATCTTTATCTTGGTCGTCAAATACTTTTGTGATATTTTCTGTTTTGTATAACTCATACATTAGACGAGTTCATCATTTTCTATTATACATTACTCATACGTTAAACGATTTTATATTTTTTGTTGTACATCACTCATACGTTTGACGATTTCATGTTTTCTGTTTTACATTACTCATACCTTCGACGATTTCATTATTTTCTGTTTTACATTAATCATAAGTTAGATGATTTATGTATTCTGTTATACATTACTCGTACGTTATATGAGTTACTGTTTTCTGTATCTCATTACTCAAACGTTAAACGAGTTCGTGTTTTCTGTTTTACATTACTCATACGTTAGACGATGTCATGTATTCTGTTGTACATTACTCATACGTTTGTCGATTTCTTTTTTTCTGTTTTATATTACTCGTACGTTAGACGATTTTATTATTTTCTATTTTACATTACCCATACGTTAGAGGGTTTCATGTTTTCTGTTTAAATTACCCATGCTTTAGACGGGCTCATGGCTTCTGTTGTATATCAACCATACGTCAGACGATTTCTTTTTTCTGTTTTACATTACCCATACGTAAGATGAGGTACTGTTTTTTCTGTATCTCATTACTCATACGTCAGACGATTTCATGTTTTCTGCTTTATATCAATCATACATAAAATAATTGTATGTTTTCTGTTGTACATAACCCATACGTTATATGAGGTAATGTTTTCTGTATCTCATTACTCAAACGTTAGACGATTTCATGTATTCTGTTGTACATTACTCATTCGTTAGACTATTTCATGTTTTCTGTTTTACATTACGCATACTAAGATGATTTTATGTTTCCGCTTGTACATCAATCATCCGTTAGACGATTTCATGTTTTCTGTTGTTTATCAATTTTACGTTAGACGAGTTCATGTTTTCTGTTTACATTACTCATACGTTAGACGATTTCATGTTTTCTGTTGTACATCAATTTTCCGTTAGACGAGTTCATGTTTTCTGTTTTACATTACTCACACGTTAGACGATTTCATGTTTTCTGTTGTACATCAATTTTGCGTTAGACGAGTTCATGTTTTCTGTTTTACATTACTCACACGTTAGACGATTTCATGTTTTCTGTTGTACATCAATTTTCCGTTAGACGAGTTCATGTTTTCTGTTTTACATTACTCATACGTTATATGAGTTACTGTTTTCTGTATCTCATTACTCAAACGTTAGACGATTTCGTGTTTTCTGTTTTACATTACTCATACGTTAGACGAGTTCTTGTTTTCTGTTTTAAATTACTCATACGTTATATGAGTTACTGTTTTCTGTATCTCATTACTCAAACGTTAGACGATTTCGTGTTTTCTGTTTTACATTACTCACACGTTAGACGATTTCATGTTTTCTGTTGTACATCAATTTTACGTTAGACGAGGTCATGTTTTCTGGTTTGCATTACTCATACGTTAGACGGTTTTATTATTTTCTGTTGTACATTACCCATACGTTAGACGATTTCATGTTTTCTGTTGTACATCAATTTTGCGTTAGACGAGTTCATGTTTTCTGTTTTACATTACTCACACGTTAGACGATTTCATGTTTTCTGTTGTACATTACTCAAACGTTATATGAGTTACTGTTTTCTGTTGTACATTACTCACACGTTATATGAGTTACTGTTTTCTATATCTCATTACTCAAATGCTAGACGATCTCATGTTGTCTGTTTTACATCAATCTTACGTTATACGATTTCATGTTTTCTGTTTTACATTAGTAATACGTTAGACGATTTCATGTTTTCTGTTGTTCCTTACTCATACGTTAGTCGATTTCTTGTTTTCTGTTTTACATTACATATACTTAGACGATTTTATGTTTTCGTTTGTACATCAAACATCCGTTAGACGATTTCATGTTTTCTGTTGTACATCAATTTTGCGTTAGACGAGTTCATGTTTTCTGTTTTACATTACTCATACGTTATATGAGTTACTGTTTTCTGTATCTCATTACTCAAACGTTAGACGATTTCGTGTTTTCTGTTTTACATTACTCACACGTTAGACGATTTCATGTTTTCTGTTGTACATTACTCAAACGTTATATGAGTTACTGTTTTCTGTTGTACATTACTCACACGTTATATGAGTTACTGTTTTCTGTATCTCATTACTCAAACGTTAGACGATTTCGTGTTTTCTGTTTTACATTACTCATACGTTAGACGATTTCATGTTTTCTGTTGTACATTACTCATACGTTAGACGAATTCATATATTCTGATTTACATTACCCATACGTTAGACGAGTTCATATTTTCTGTTTTAAATTACTCATACGTTAGACGATTTTATTATTTTCTGTTGTACATTACCCATACGTTAGATGATTCATGTATTCTGTTGTACATTACTCACACGTTATATGAGTTAATGTTTTCTGTTTTACATTACTCATACGTTAGACGATTTCATTTTTGTTTTGTTTTACATTACTCACACGTTAGATGGTTTTATGTTTTCTGTTTTACCTTACTCATACATTAGACGATTTCATTATTTTCTGTTTTACATTACCCATACGTTAGATGGTTTCATGTTTTCTTTTTTACCTTACTCATACGTTAGACGATTTCCTTATTTTCTGTTTTACATTACCCAATCGTTAGATGGTTTTGTTTTCTGTTACACATTACTCATACGTTATATGAGTTACTGTTTTCTGTATCTCATTACCCATACGTTAGACGATTTTATGTATTCTGTTGTACATTACTCATACGTCAGACGATTTCATGTTTTCTGATTTATATCAATCATACATAAAATAATTTCATGTTTTCTGTTGTGCATTACCCAAACGTAGGACGATTTCCTGTTTTCTGTTGTAAATTACTCAAACGTTAGACGATCTCATGTTGTCTGTTGTACATTACTCATACGTTAGACGATTTTATTATTTTCTGTTGTACATTACTCATACGTCAGACGATTTCATGTATTCTGTTGTACATTACTCATACGTCAGACGATTTCATTATTTTCTGTTCTACATTACCCATACGTCAGACGTTTTCATGTATTCTGTTGTACATTACCCATACATACGATTTCATGTTTTCTGTTGCACATTACTCAAACGTTAGACGATTTCCTGTTTTCTGTTGTAAATTACTCAAACGTTAGACGATTTAATGTTTTCTGTTATACTTTATCCATACGTTAGACGGTTTCATGTATTCTGTTGAACATTACTCAAACGTTAGACGATTTCATGTATTATTTTGTACATTACTCATACGTCAGACGAGTTCATGTTTTCTGTTGCACATCAGTCATACGTTAGACGATTTTATTATTTTCTGTTTTACATTACCCATACGTTAGACGAGTTCATGTTTTCTGTTTTACATTACTCATACGTTAGACGAGTTCTTGTTTTCTGTTTTAAATTACTCATACGTCAGACGAGTTCATGTTATCTGTTGCACATCAGCCATACGTTAGACGATTTCGTGTTTTCTGTTTTACACCACTCATACGTTAGACGAATTAATTATTTTCTGTTGTACATTACTTATACGTTAGACGATTTCGTTATTTCCTGTTTTACATTACCCAATCGTTAGATGGTTTTGTTTTCTGTTACACATCAGTCATACGGTAGACGATTTCAAGTTTGGGTTGTACATTTACCATACGGCAGACGAGTTCATGTTATCTGTTGCACATCAGTCATTTCATGTATTCTGTTGAACATTACTCAAACGTTAAACGATTTCGTGTTTTCTGTTTTACCTAACTCATACATTAGACGATTTCATTATTTTTTGTTTTACATTACCCATACATACGATTTCATGTTTTCTGTTGTGCATTACTCATACGTTTGTCGAGTTCTTTTTTTCTGTTTTAAATTACTCATACGTTAGCCGAGTTCTTGTTTTCTGTTTTACATTCCCCATACGTAAGATGAGTTCCTGTTTTCTGTATCTCATCACTCATACGTCAGACGATTTCCTGTTTTCTGTTGTACATTACTTATACGTCAGACGATTTCTTTTTTCTGTTTTACATTATTACCCATACATACGATTTCATGTTTTCTGATTTATATCAATCTCATACGTTAGACGAATTAATTATTTTCTGTTGTACATTACTCCTACGTCAGACGAGCTCATGTTTTCTGTTTACCTTACTCATACGTTAGCCGAGTTCTTGTTTTCTGTTTTAAATTACTCATACGTCAGACCAGTTCATGTTTTCTGTTGCACATCAGCCATACGTTAGACGATTTTATTATTTTCTGTTGTACATTACCGATACGTTAGATGATTCATGTATTCTGTTGTTCATTACTCATACGTCAGACCAGTTCATGTTTTCTGTTACACATCAGTCATACGGTAGACGATTTCAAGTTTGGGTTGTACATTTACCATACGTCAGACGATCTCATGTTGTCTGTTGTACGTTACTCATACGTTAGACGAATTAATTATTTTCTGTTGTACATCAATTTTACGTTAGACGAGTTCTTGTTTTCTGTTTTACCTTACTCATACATCAGACGATTTCTTGTTTTCTGATCTATATCAATCATACATAAAATAATTTCATGTTTTGTTTCATGTATTCTGTTGTGCATTCCCCATACATACGATTTCATGTTTTCTGTTACACATCAGTCATACGTTATACGATTTAATGTTTTCTGTTATATTTTATCCATACGTTAGACGGTTTCATTTTTTTTTTTTTTTTACATTACCCACACGTTAGATGGTTTCACGTTTTCTGTTTTACCTAACTCATACATTAGACGATTTCATTATTCCCTGTTTTACATTACCCATACGGGAGACGCTTTCATGTTGATTGTTATACTTTACCCGTACTTTAGACGATTTAATGGTTTCTGTTATACATTCCCCATACGTAAGATGAGGTACTGTTTCTTCTGTATCTCATTACCCATACGTTAGACGATGTCATGTATTCTGCTGTACATTACTCATACCTCAGTCGAGTTCATGTTTTCTGTTACACATCAGTCATACGGTAGACGATTTCAAGTTTGTGTTCTACATTTACCATACGTCAGACGAGGTCATGTTTTCTGTTGCGCATCAGTCATACGTTATACGATTTAATGTTTTATGTTATACATTACCCATAGGGTAGACGCTTTCATGTTTAGTTTTACATTACCCATACGCAAGATGAGGTACTGTTTTTTCTGCATCTCATTACTCATACGACAGACGATTTCATGTTTTCTGTCGCACATTACTCAAACGTTATATGAGTTACTATTTTCTGTTTTTCATTACTCATACGTCAGACCAGTTCATGTTTTCTGTTTTTCCTTACTCATACATTAGACGATTTCATTTTTTTTTTTTTTTCATTTCCCACAAATTAGATGGCTTCATGTTTTCTGTTTTACCTAACTCATACATTAGACGATTTCATTTTTTTTTTTTTTTTTTTCCTCTTTGTTAGGAGGTTTTTTTTTTTTTTTCCTCTTTGTTAGGAGGTTTTTTTTTTTTCTGTTTTAAATTACTCATACGTTAGACGATTTAATGTTTTCTGTTATACATTACCCATACGGTAGACGATTTCAAGTTTGTGTTGTACATTTACCATACGTCAGACGAGTTCATGTTTTCTGTTGCACATCAGTCATACGTTAGACGATTTAATGTTTTCTGTTATACATTACCCATACGGTAGACGCTTTCATGTTTATTGTTATACTTTACCCATATGTTAGACGTTTTCATGTTTTCTATTTCGCTTTAGGCAACTCTTAGTCAGGTTACAATATTGTCTTGTATTCAGTTATCATTGTTATTATTAAAACTATCTATCTTACGAGAGACAGACACGAGGACCAATCAAAATAAACCCCGTCTCTCATTTTGTTTGGTAAGAAGAAACTTATTTACAAATTATTTCTCCAGCACGAGGAAAATCATGGGCAGAAATATTACGTGATAATAACTATGTTATTATTAGAACGTCATAAAACAGTGTGACGTTGCATTTTGGTACGTACAAAGTGCAGGTGAAGACCACGAGCTTTACATTAACCAATAAGCCACTTCCGTATAGACAACGTTGATCTTCAACGCTATAAGACTGAAAGTTGGAAAACTGATAGTAATGATGAAAACTTGTATCTCAATCAATATGTTGATGAAAATAACAGGCCATGTGATTCCGTAGGTTCAAAGACCTTCCTTGTAGCATTTGACTTTTGTTTGTTACACCATATTATAATAAAGAAATCAAAATTAATAACATACACGTAGGCCCATCAGAAGCTTACACTGAAATACAAAATGTACTTTATTCAAACAAAAGGCTTTAATTATCAAGTGGAAACACAGCTTACCATATCTGACAAAGAACATGGGCTGTAATAACGAACCGGAAACTAAAGCAAATTGAAAATATGCAAATATGTTCAAAGTACGTATATTAATAAAGAGTTGTTGGCATGTTTTGGACATTAATCCAAATAGCATCAAGGTTTGGTACAACATATACAGCAAGGTTACACTTGTTAATTTTAAATTTGCATTTTAATATATAACGTAGAAAAAAATATCAATGCGGTAAACATTGTATTCAGTGGTTTTCTTTAATTAAACAATGCTTTGTAAATAAATGCAAGAGAAAATTAACCTTATATATCACGTATTTCGTATCTTCATTTCAGCACATTTACAAATATTAATAAAGACGCTTACGTAAATGTAGGCAAGCATTCTTACTGTGTCTGTATACTTTATTTGTATACAGGCCCAACCCAGTGGAGACAAAACGCTGACTGGAGCTGGCGAGACGGGATCGGGGGCTAAACGTAAAGGATCAAAGATGAGTAAGGCAGAAGTTACAAATTATATCGGGGTCTTAAAGAAAAAGTTCGAGGTTTTAGGAATATCGTTAGATAATTATTTCACGAATAATAATGATATACCGACGATTCCGCCGACGGATGAAGACGACTGCCTGACAACTGAACCAGAAAAGGTTGAGAAACCCGCATCAAACATCCAAGCCATACTTGCACGACTCAGGGAGTTTATAACTATCGACAGTCCGTTAGCCCACCCAATGAGCGCAGGTGAGAATCTGTGAATCTACACATTTGTGCACCAATATGTTTTGTACATCAATATAGTATTGATGCTTTGGTATTCCTACACCAATTTTGAATATGCAGCACACGTCTCAGTGTAAATAGTATAACAGCACGAAACAAAAGCATTTTTTTCTGTTGGCAACAATCTGCATTACTAATGTTTTTGTTTAGCATGGTCTGTTGACGTAAGTTTTAAGAAATTACATCGGATGTGTAGATTCAACGATTCTTATCAAACTGCATATACATTGCAATCTTTTATATATGAGTAATACGATTAATTCCCAATTAAAAAAGTTGTCAGGCAGCACAATTGAAAATATCATCAATGTTAACACCATATGCATGATCTAAGGTGTATACTCTATGCGACTGTTATTTATTGCAGATATTCCACAAGCTAGTGACCAGGCCGCTGCAGACAATCTATCAGAAATGGATAAATTAAAACTTGAAGTACTCAAGTTCTTCCAGAACAACCCGTCGGTAGAAGACATGTTCAAGGAAGACGGTACATATTAAAATTTTCTTTATCTGAAATTTCATGAAGATACAGTTTATGTGAAATAAAAACGCCTTTTCAATTTATTTTGAAAGAAAATGATCAACGAATATTGCCATTGCGTGCATGGCCCTTTTCAGATCTTGCAGCTATATTACAAATACTGAGGTAGCACTATAAAGTCGGAAATGACCATAGCTGTTGATAGGAAGTTAAACAATACTAAACCAAATCAAACGTTACAAATACCCTCAGAATATAGGTTCAAATATTTCCAGGTTCAAACTAACACAGCTATAACGAAAAGAAAGTGTTCTATACATTAAATTGATTTATCATTTTCTTTTAGAGTCTGCTGCTAAGGTTGATGCTACATTAGCAGGTAAATATTACACGCGTTGAATTAAGATATAACATAACAAACATATTGTTTTGCACTGTTAACTGTTTTGAGGAGAGTTCAGCTACTTCGGGATGCATGAAGTGCACCAATATTTTAGAAAATATTTACTTATCGCACCATCTTTAACGCTGATCTGAACTTATTTGAGTACCTGCCTCCGTTATTCCATTCCGCAGCGCTTTGGGAGATTGCTTATCTTGATCTGGCCCGCTGTATTTTGCCACGCCTGTTGTGTGCATACATGTTGCTACCTGTGACACAATTAGTAAATCTATCTCCTCCAAATTCTCAGGTCAGGAAACAGAAAGTAAGGACAATGCCGACAGCATGTCTACCCCTACACCAGATATCGTAATGTCCAGCTTGGCAGGTGAGACAGGTGAGACAGGTGAGACAGGTTATGAGATACGTGCTGCCAACCCAAACGAGGTCGCACAAGATTACGCTTACTTTGAAGCTCCATCTCGATATAGGCACAAAAGAAGACGGTACAAAGCAAGGCGTCGAAAATCCAGAGCAAGGTCAACCGTGGTCTACAAGTCAAGGTCGAAAACTGTGTACAAAGTCAACAAGTCCTCAAGGCCTCGTCAACAGGAGAGGCCGTCACCTAGGTCTAGGAAACGTAATTCCAGCAGACGAAGGATAAGAAAGAATAGGTTGAGTGAGTGCTTTATATACGTTAAATAGTTTAGAGATATGGCATATACATCCAATGTTTGAACATGTATTCTCCTGTGGTGTCATGTTAATATGCAAGTCTAATTATGAATAGTTAAACATAATGAAATACTTAACATATATTTGATAGTCATTTTATCGTCTTTATGATATCAATATTGATCACGAAAATCAATATATTGACCAAACTATTAAACAATTACTATAAATTTAACCCATTTTAATTTCATTTTCAACATATTCTATTGACTTTGTATATGTCAATTTGATTGGACATCAGGCTAGGCCCGTTTAAGTCCTAGTTTAACCCATATAAAATAGATATTCATTTTAAATTGATGATAAACCTGATATGTTAGCATTTAAATCTTGAACATTTTTTTTCCGGTTTTAACGTAGGGACAAATAGAAGAATTAAAGGTAAGAGAAACAAACCTAAAGGGAAAACGAAGGAAAAAGAAACGAAAGAAAAGGAAACGAAGGAAAAAGAAACGAAAGAAAAGGAAACGAAAGAAAATGAAACTAAGAAGAAGCAATGCCTAACCAAGAAAGAAAAGGCTAAGGCCAAGGACAGTTCAAATAGCGACGAGAGCAAGGACGAAGAGACCAATGACAGTAACAAGAACAATGTAAAGACTGACAGTAGCAGAAGTGAGAGTATTAGTATAAGCAGTGAAGATAGTAGTAGTAGTAGCAGTAGTGAAGAAGACGATAAAGCTGCCAGTCAAAGAAGACCTCCTCCTAAGTTTCGTCGACAATATCGATACTATGAAAAATATTTGCAATATCACGAGAAATATCTCAAATACAAACTGAAATACATACAATGTTATAGATCCTCAAAACGAAACAAGAATAAGTCACCAAAATTAGATGACGATGGCGAGGACGATGACGACGAAGATGTAAATGGAAAAGGAAATGACGACACTGACATTAGAAAGTGGCGGGCCTCTAAATCAAGTAATAATAAAAAGGACAGTACCAAGGATGATGATGAGGGTAATAGTAACAAGACGGGTAGTAGGAAAGATGACACCGACGACGACAACAAAGACTTGTACGACTATTCCGACGAGAACGATATGGGGTATGATGATTACCTATTCCATACCGATTATGGTGGCATGGACTTTGACTATGGCGATGAAAGCGGATATTCGGATGAAAGTAGCCAGGACTATAGTAGCAGTGAAGAAGAGGAAAGCGGCGCCGACGTAAGTAAGGAATCTGATTCAGGAGAAGAATTGTCATCGAAAAGTGAGGAGAATATTAGTAAAGAGGATGATGATGATGATATTGATGATGATGACGCTTCCAGTAAAAGTACAGATGAGGAGTCGGATCACAGTGACGTTTAAGATTCCGGAAACTGTCGATATTTTCTTAAATTTTAGATCACCAAAATCTTAGCGTGTTTTCAAAGTTACACTCTGTCATCGACCCACTGCGTTCAGTTTCTATAGCATGAAGGAAAGAAGAGAGAACACCCTGGACGGCAAATACAAGCGTTAAGGTTACACGTCTCAGTTGTCCACAGTTACACTCTGAAATGATTCAATGTACTGTATTTGCTTTAAAATATTTTGACTACGTAAAATGTTATATCAACATTTCCCAAGCTAAATCTAGGCTATGTATCTTCGTGTTTTAGCCAGGGTACGCATTGTTCCATTGGTCCGCAGTCGGGAGGTCATTTGCGACGCTCTAGTAGCCCTTTCGCTTAACCGATACTTAGATCGGTTTGACATTTATTAAAATCTTGAAGTAACTGATAGTGATCTTTTCTTATTCATCGACATTATCTCATAAGCGGCATGCATTGTACTATTATCGACAACTTAAAAAAAAATGTTGTTTTTATCAAAAGGAGAGGCATGATATGGTTTACAGCTTTGTAGTATTCAAGAGGTATGGCACTTTGAATGAACAATTGTAAATAAACACGTATAACATATAGATCATATACCTGTATACACACCCAGGTTAAAATGATATATAATATAACTTAGTTATTGGCAGTTTCTGATAATATTCTTACACCCCAAGATGTAAACGCATGTAAGTACGATGTATTGCGTTATAAACTCGTTAAATGATTAACGGTAACGTTGTAAATTGTTTGTTTCTCATCTAGTCTAAAACTAAATTTGACCTCAAAACGCCGCAGATTCCTCTTGGCAGCTTAATGACACTGAAGGACACCCTAACCGTCTATGATATCCTGGAGGCGAAAACAGATTATCCTTAACAAATATCAGTACATATACGACATGGAATTAGGAATGGTGAATAAGAAGGACAATTGAATTTGTTTATTTTGTTTCTTGGTTTTTGTATCGCTTAACGGCCTATCACAAATATGAGTCATTTAGGGCGAATTAACACCGTGGAAATAGACATTCACAAAAACGAACATATCAAACTAAAACAAAATAGGTGAGATCATGAAAAGGCAATTAAAATACACCAGTGGCCAACGAATTGGTTATACAATACATAATATGTTATCGTAAAATTTAATGGAATGTAAATAGTCATATATATTAATTGCACAGAAATTGTATCACTTTTCAAAGACGGTACATTATAGGATATGTCACATGCGTGTTGGAAATCAGCTCATTCAATCATAAAACGTGTTTTTTCTGTAAATTTTGATAACATGCATGGCAATAAAGCTGGTCTCCAATACGTATAATCTAACTATGTGTGATGTATGCATAGTCTCCAGAGGAATTTCCTCCATGCGATCAGCTCTACTTGTTGCACATGAGCCCACATAAGGTTGAATTTTTATATATTTCTTAAGGTTTATTTCTTCAGACCATTTATTTTGCCAAATCGTTTTAATTAAATTTACTGTGGTAGCTTTAAATTTCGAAAAAGGCAATTTGTCTATATTTCGGTTCTGGGGCAGTTGAATACGTGCCTGTAGCGTGATATACAAAGCATATAATCATAACCGATTCGCTGTCAAAGACAGACAACTGCATACAGAGTCTGTCGTCCATACCCCATTTAGTTATTTCATTTACTAAATGAAAGTAATATCAATCGAGTAAAGTAAAAGTATAAGATACGGTTCACGTACTATCAGTAACAATTCGCAAATTCATCTTATTTTCACCGTTGAATACCATATAATTAATAATCTGACATTAATAATTTAGAAAAAAATGTATTGAACAAACTAAAGGTACTAATTGCAATTTTCCATTTGAGTGTTACATGCTTAACAATTAAATAATGGAGTGTTTCATAAGTAAATCAACTTAAGTCACAAGTTGTTTATATGTAACAACTTTCAATTAACATCTGTTTTTCATTTTATGTGGTCATTTCAAACAAGAAATCGAAATCTCTTAACAATGTTGAATTGAACAATTGTAGATATGAATGCCGCGTCAATTAGATACATTGTACGATTAACATGACCCTTAGAGAGTTTGTTTAAACAATAAGGTCATAGGTCATAACTTGGTATTTATGGTACATGATTTGACACAAATACAGTACAGGGTTATAAGTCGAAGCCATACTTGTCGCCAACAGTTTAACGATAAATAATATCCCAGTTTGTATTAGGGTCACCATTCAGAGCCGCGCTGCATCAAAAGGAGGTATCCCTCTCAATTGTTATTATATGTCTGTCTGTTAATGTGTATAGGGTTTGACAATAACGTCCTCGCCACAGCTAAGGTGATTTGAAGACAGGTGCCAAGTGAGACATTGCCGAAAGGAGAGGGTAGGTAAGATAGAAAACAACAAATGTTGATCCCGAGTGTTTAAATTGGCGCAACAGGTCGATTTTGGTGTCTTCAAGGTACTGTTAGTAACCGGTACAGAAGACATACCATGTTGTCAGTTCGTGTTTGTGTATGTGACACAATATTCTCCCATCCTTCACATGTGTGTCTCACGTTTTTAGCCGGTAAAGATCAGTTTGTCACCCATCTAGAGGGATATAGCCTCGTGCTGATTATCACATGTCCAATGGTGACGTCATTAAAATGCATCATCTGTAATTGTGACGGCATCAAAAGTGAATGACGATATACATACCCCACATGTGTTTTTTGTTTACAACGTGGCAGACTAGTGTCGGGGTGGTTCATTTGGTTGTCTAACCCTCGGCAGAACCTCGGGTTAGATAATCAAAAAACATCACCCCTCGGGTTGGTGATTTCTCTGTCACACCCTCAAGGCAGGGGAAGTTTATATTAGTCTCCTCGTTTGGCATGAAGTAAGATACAGCAGGTCTTTTCGTTACCTTATCGAGGAAGCGTCTCTGTTACCTTGGTTATTAACGATTAACGGAGGAATAATTATTGTATTATATTATATAATGCATACCATATATATTTACGGCAACAGCAGCAAGAGCAGTTGAACGTTCTAAAATGACATTTCCATCTAACAGAGCTTTTGTTAAAAATGTATTCTATTGTCGTTTATATATTTAATTTGTGTTGTCACTTATAAAGTCCAAATAACATTACATTCATTAACAACTACATATTTGTTTTTAATATACAGCAACAGTTTAGGTTAGTCGGCAACATTGTATTATCTCCTTTAGCTAAATAGTAAGAAAAGCATTCATATTAATTGCAGAACAATATCATCAAACGAATAGATAAGGAAAACCTATAGAAAACCATCATTTATATAATAGTCAGTAACGTGCTAGTAAAGCATTCTCTCTCCTAAACGGATGAGGCAAGGTATGTACATGTACCTTTACGATGTTACAGTCAGAAAATTGACAAAAACTAATTTTTATGCGATGTTTATTTACTTTAGATGATTTCAGTTTGCGCTTGTATTTTAAGAGTTGCCTATTTTCTCGCAGACGTTAAAATGACACATAACGACGTTATGTTTACTATCTTAGCCATTACGGAACTCAATATTTTGAAATCAAACCATTTGCTTATTTAGTCCCTAGTCGGGCATTAAAAAACCAAAAAGGCAGTTCCTATACGGAGATCACCAGATGCATCTACAGTACGTATATGAGATTAACATAAACTAACTCTCTTACTCTATTGAATCTATCATATGTAAAGCGGAATGTTGGAGAGGCTTCAAGCAAAAGACCGTTTTAGATGTAAACAACTGATATTTTGATTTTGCATTACTGGGTTAAAGCTAGTTCCAAGAAAAAGGCAGACGTAATTTTACAAGATGTATTTTGCTCAAACACACAACCACAAATCGTTGTCGACGGGATCCAGTATCCTTCTCAGGTAAATAGAATATTCAGTGAAATACTGACATATAAAACTACAAAGTGATTCCCCGATATATACTCTGTATTTATTGAAACGTTATCATCCCCATCTGCTGTCAACTCGTCCTCATACAGTCCATAGTGGTGAGTCTATAGGTGAGTAATAAACGGCTTTTTATTTTATTATATTTTATGTTCGGTAGATTTTAAGACAGCATGAATTATTAAATAATCTTTACGATCTAACGAAATATCATTTAAAACTAATAACGTAAGGTAGTTAATTTTCTCTCATTCCCCTGTGTGTAAAATAGAGCTGTCCAGGGTAAGAAAAGGAAAACGTGCCGTGCCGTTATAATGGATCAACAATGACGAGACGTCACCACTTTGTAAAGGCGACGTGATGAAATTAAAACATTTTACAATATATTTAACGCACAAATTACAACGATGAGTTTGACTTTTCAGTGCAAACACAGCAAATATGGGGTATGCTTAATCTGGCTGACTGATTCGTTTTCGTTCATGGGAAAATTGATATTTTCAAAATGGTAGCCAGTCCAAACGCATTTTCAGTTTTTGGGCTTTTTCTGGTAGTTGGAATGAGAGAAAAAAAAGCGCGTGCCCAACGTTGTAAGATCGTTAAATTCCACCCTCGGGATTTTTCAAATTTGGAAAGCCTCGGGTTTGAAAACCCCTTCAGTGGGAGTGAAAGAGTCTTATAACATTACTTACCGTAGTGAGGGATAATCATCCCGTGAAATATGAACAATTTCTGTGTAGTAACGTGTTCTTAAAAAACCTTAAGATCGTTCCAGCGTAAAATGTTCATGTAAAGATAAACTGTTTTATTAAATTGTTGATATTTTGTTATATATGGATTGAAAGGTTGTTTTCAATTTTCATGCCGGTATGAACACAAATCTGTTACATACATATTGCTTGAAGCGTGCTAGTAACCGATTTGCGTTCATACTGGCATGATAATTAAAACAATGCCGTTCAATGCATATCTAAACACTTTTTTTCTATAGAAAATATTGTTTACTTTTGTTTATTTATTCTTAAATTATTTACTGTATTTTGTTTATGCGTCGTGCTTTAAACGACAATGGCGCAACAGCCCGATTAAACTGAAATTGGGGCCAATAATTAACCGTAGTCATTTTAGTGTTTGACGCAGGGGCATTCTCCATGTTACTAGAAGCGAAAGGACAAGACTCTCACTGAACAAGGTTAATCTATAGCTTCATAAGTAAACCACGTGTCACGTCACGATAGTTTTTGCTTTCAAACTCAAATGATATGCATTTCTAGTGGTAATGTTCATATAGAAGGTTTCAGCGCAAATGTAAATATAAATATATAATGTCCAGATTGAGTTGTGCACATTTTCTCCCATGCTTCGCATTCCCGAAATACATGTCTTACTGGACTCTTAAGACGACTTCCCTCCACACTTTTGAAAACTTCCCATTGCGTTAACTTTGTATGTAGTAGAACTAGCGCATCGTCATGCGCTCTTGGTGATGAACCGCAGC